TACAGAGGGGTTACAATTAGATGGGCAAGATAATGAGTACATTTCTTATCAAGCATTGTAGCCTCCTCCTTTGTTTCCCCTTCCCATCCCTTCCCAGCCTCACCCTGCCCCCCCTAATTTTTGTTTTTTTGAGACAGGGTCTTGCCATGTAGTCTAGGCTAGACTTACACTCTTCATTCTCCTGTCTCAGCATCTTGAGTGCTGGGATTGCATGTGTGTACCACCACACCCAGGAGTGTCTACAACCTAGGAGCCTCAGCATACAAGATCAGCCTGGGCTATATACAAGGCCCTATCTCAAAAACAGACAAAACATCCTATATTCAGCAATAAATAGTTACAAGTTTTCCCCAGGTCCTTTCAGCTTTTAGTTTGCGTTTCAGATAGGGTCTAGTGCTAACTTTGCCTGGGCTGGCCCCAAATTGCTGTCCTCCAGTCTTTGCCTTCCATGTAACTGGTATTACATGTGTACATTATCACAAGATCTTGCTACGTAGATTAGTTAGACCTGGAATTTGCTGTGTAGCCCTGAATAGCTATAAACTTAGGATCCTGTTACAGATGCTCCCCACTCCCCCCACCTGCCGAGTTGTGGGGCCTGAACTCTGGGCCTGAGCGCTGTCCCTCAGCTCTTCAGCTCAAGGCTAGCATTCTACCACTTGAGCCACAGTGCAACTTCTAGCTTTTTTTGCTTATGTGGTGCTGAGGACTCAAACCCAGGGCCTCATGGCATACAAGGCAAGTATTCTACCACTGAGTCACCTTCCCAGCCCCACAGATGCTTTTTTGTGTGTGTGTATGCCAGTCCTGGGGCTTGAACTCTGGCCTGGCTGCTATCCCTGAGCTTCTTTTGTTCAAGGCTAGTGCTCTACCAGAGTCACAGCAACATTTCTAGCTTCTCAGCTTTTTTTTTGTTGTTGTTGTTGTTAGTTTAATAGAGATAAGTCTCACAGACTTTTCTACCTGGGCTCATTTCAAATTGTGGTCCTCAGCCTCCTGAGTAGGATTACAGGAATGAGCCACTGGCACCCAGCTCTGTCACGGGTTCTTGAGTGCTGGGATTACAGGTGTGTATTACTATATCTGGCAGTTACTTATACTCTTTTTCTTGGCAGTACTGGGGTTTGAACTAGGTACTTAAGCTTGTCAGACCAGTGCTCTACCACCTAAGCCATGTATTCAGCCCATTTTGCTTCAGTTATTTTTCAAATAGGGTTTTGCTTTAGCTTTTATGTCCAGGCCAGCTTCAACCAAGATCCTCCAATTTATACTTCCCATACAGCTAAATTGTGTGCACGCCAATTCCTGGGGCTTGAACTCTGGTCTGGTGCTGTCCTGGAGCTTTTGTGTTCAAGGCTAATGTTCTACAGTTTTGAGCCACAGCACCATTTCTGGCTTCTTTTTTCTATAGTTAATTGGAGATGAGAGTCTTAGAGACTTTCCTGCCCCCTGCTGGCTTAGAACCGTGATCCTCAGATTTCAGCCTCCTGAGTAGCTAGGATTACAGGTGTGAGCCACCAGTGCCTGGCTTGCACCAAGCCTTTTGTTGATTGAGTTCGGTGTCTTATGAGCTTTTTTGCTCCAGCTAGCCTTTAACCTTGATCCTCCTGATCTCGAGTAGCTAGGATTATAGGTATGAGCCACCATACTTGGCTAGTAGTTATGTTCTTGGTCACCTGCATTTCATTGGGGTTTACTTGGGAAAGGAAACAATTTGGGAACATCTATAGTGGTTCTGTCCAGTGTCTCACTTACACAGTTTCTTCTTCTCCCTCTAGATGGCAGAGTTCCCTCTAGAACCAATGCTGTGCAAAATGCTCATCATGTCTGTACATCTGGGCTGCAGTGAAGAAATGCTGACCATTGTGTCCATGCTGTCAGTGCAGAATGTCTTTTACAGGCCCAAGGTAGGGTGTTTAGCTCCCAGTTCAGACAGGGGTGGGTAGACTCGTCATATTGCCACTGTGATGTTTGATGGGGCACTGCTGACATGGCTGGCTGGGTAGGGCTCCCTAGTAATTCTGGATATTCAATTAGAAGCTGTTGGGTGAGAAATGAGCATTGTTACACCACCTGACAGGATAAGCAAGCCCTCGCAGATCAGAAGAAGGCCAAATTCCACCAGACTGAAGGGGACCATCTCACCCTTCTGGCTGTGTACAACTCCTGGAAAAACAACAAGTTCTCCAACCCATGGTGCTACGAGAACTTTATCCAGGCCCGTTCCCTGCGCCGGGCCCAGGACATCCGTAAGCAGATGTTAGGCATAATGGACAGGTAAGTGAGGAATGTGTTTGGGCTGAGTGTCACATGTTTGTCTAAGTGGACCTGGAAAGCACCTGTCCTCTAACTGCTCCTAGTCTTTCTGTCCATGTTGTATTACTTCTTCTTCCCAGACAAGCTAATAATCAGCTCAAAAAATTCCTAAGAGGGGGCTGGGAAGGTGGCTCAGTGGTAGAGTGCTTACCTTTCATGCATGAAGCCCTGGGTTCGATTCCTCAGTACCACATAAACAGAGTGCTAATCTTGAGCTGAAGAGCTGAGGGATAGTGCCCAGGCCCAGAGTTCAGGCCCCATGACCGGCACACACACACACACACACACACACACACACACAATTTCTAAGAGGAAAGCAGTTTATTGGTTGAAAAATGCTTTGTTTATAAGGCACTGGAACGTTACTAGTCTGGAGTAGAATTCTTGCTTAAAGGAAGTGTCTGGCTTTCAGCACCTCCATCTAACCTGCTGTGGAGTTTCTCTGCTACACTTGGGGCTGTGAGAGGAAGATCCTGGAAACTACTCTGAGAGCTCTATGTTGGGGGCATTGGCACTTTCATTCTGGAAGATAGCACACTTGAAAGAGTCACTTCATGTTCTTGCTCTTATTCTCCTGATAGACACAAGCTGGATGTGGTGTCCTGTGGCAAGTCCACAGTCCGAGTGCAGAAGGCCATCTGCAGTGGGTTCTTCCGTAATGCTGCCAAGAAAGACCCGCAGGAGGGCTATAGGACCCTGATCGACCAGCAGGTGGTTTACATCCACCCTTCCAGTGCGCTCTTCAACAGACAGCCAGAATGGTAGGTGCTGCTTTTGGGTCCTAGGGGTTCTTTTGAGCATAGAGAACATATACATCTCCAGGTGTTGCCCTTGTGTTCTCCACTACCATATTTCTAGGACAGTACTAGCCTGAGTAGGCACAGTACCAAGCACTTTTGAGAAAAACTCAGCTGGGCACCAGTGGCTCACATCTATAATCTCAGCTACTCAGAAGGCTGAGTTCTGAGAATCAGGGTTTGAAGCCAGAGAGATCTGAGACTCTCATCTCCAATTAACCAGCAAAAAGGTAGAAGTGGAGATGTGGCTCAAGTGGTAGATTACCAGCCTTGAGTGAAAAAGCCAAGCAGTAGTGCAAGGCCCTGAGTTCAAGCTTCACTACTGGCCTGCATGTGCACGCTGGGAATGTAGCTCAGTGGTAGAGTGTTTGCCTAGCATGCATGAAACCCTGGGTTGGATTCTTCAGTACCACATAAGCAGAAAGGTCAGAAGTGGTACTGTGGCTCAAGTGGTAGAATGCTAGCCTTGCGCACAGAGAGGCTCAAGGAGAGTGCCCAGACCCTGAGTCCAACCTCCAGGACTGACTGGCAAAAGCAAGCAAACAAACAAAAAAACAGAAATGGCGCTGTGGCTCAAGTGTTAGAATGCTGGCCTTGATCTGAAGAGTTCAGGGATCAGGAACAGTGCCTAGGCCCAGAGTTCAAGCCCTAAAACCGACAAAGAAAAGAAAAGATAATGTTTAGTGAAATGGTTTAAAAGTTTGAGTAGCTGTGGACTGGGAATATGGTTCAGGGGTAGAGTGCTTGCCTAGCATACGTGAAGCCCTGGGTTCAATTCTTCAGTATCACATAAACAGAAAAAGCCAGAGGTGGTGCTGTGGCTCATGTAGTAGTGCGCTAGCATTGAGCAAAAGAAGCTCAGGGACTGCTCAGCCCCTGAGTTCAAGCCCCAAGACTGTCAAAAAAGAAAATAATAATAATTTAAGAGGCTGAGTGTTGGTGGCTTACACCTATAATCCTAGCTGCTTAGAAGTCTAAGGTCTGAGGTTTACTGTTCAAAGCCAGCCCAGGTAGGAAAGTCTGTGAGACTCTTCATCACCAAGTTAACTCTCAGAATGCTAGAGCACTGGTTTGAGCAAAGACACTGAGGGACAGTGCCTGAGTTCAACAAAAAAGGTTTTAAGTAGCATGTGTAAAAAACTTGGACTTTTATGGAAAACTTGTACTTAAAATCAACCTGCTTGCTTTAAACAATGGAGGGTGACACTGATAAGGGATAACATTGTATTCATATTTGACTTCTGGAATTGAAATCTGTTTGTCCAATTACTTGATAAAATATTAAAAACAAAACTACCTTGCTTCCACAGTGGAAGGAGGATTAGAGTCTTGCCACCTTGCCCTATCTCCTTGCAGTACTTTGCAAGTCCCTCCACAGAAACCAAGGACTCTGTGGAAACCATCAGAAAAACCACCCTCTTATATATGGAGCAAGAAACAGATCCTGAGAAAAGGGTAGCACTGGATCCATGTCCCTTAAGTATTTCAAGCCAGAGCTAAGACTAGAACATATTCTCCTGTAATTTTCTTGTGTTTGAGGGGTGTAGGCACCTAGTATGGCAGTTTGGTTGTCATAGACAGTCCAGTCTCTTATGGAATCAAGCAGAAATGAGAGGACAAGTGCCCGGCTAGCTGTGGCCCACTGAGGACCAGGTTGGTTGGAATGGGGCCTGTGATCCAAGCTTTGAGTCCTATATCTGTTGCCCTCAGGGTGGTGTATCATGAACTGGTGCTGACCACAAAGGAGTACATGCGTGAAGTTACCACCATTGACCCCCGGTGGCTCGTGGAGTTTGCCCCAGCCTTCTTCAAGGTCTCTGATCCAACCAAGCTAAGCAAGCAGAAGAAGCAGCAGAGACTCGAACCCCTATACAACCGCTACGAGGAGCCAAATGCCTGGAGAATATCCCGGGCCTTCCGGCGACGCTGAGAGGCAAGCTTGTCCACTTGCCCATCCTGCAACATGGCCAGGGCTTAGCCTTCCTCTTGCTGATGAGAAGCTGATATGGAACATACAGCTGTCTTGTGACTGCACGTCTTAATGGCAATTTCTTACACGTGACTCTTCTTCCCTGGTGTAAGCCTGGCTTTGACCATAGCCTCCAGCCCACCCAAGTTTTGGGGCTACTTGGGTCTCACAGCCAGCCTGGGGACACATTACATCATCCTCAAGAAAGGGGCAGCTTGTGCATCCTTGGGATAGAAAAGGGGAGTAAGCAAGTGTGTTACACATGACAGACCAATGAGGACCCTGATGTCTCCCAGTTGGTGCCCCCTGGAGGAGAGAACCACAGTGCTTGTTCCAGTGGGGGCTCATTTCCTGCCCATCATTTCCTGCCCATCCTTTAGCTTAACCTAGATTTACTTATTTTTTCAAGGAAACAAGAATGTGATTCTTTCTGTTTCTTTTTGCTGAAAGGTTAGCATCTCAGCTTGGAATCGGGGTGAGGAGAAACCCCTGAAACCAGAGTCTAACCCATGGGTTTTGACATGATGCCCGGAGTAGACCTTTCAGCCCTGGAGGAGCAAGCCCAGCCCTGCCAGTCGATGTGCCACAGTTTCAGTCTGGCACCTGATGGTTTAGATGCCACGTGTGAACACAGAGGATCTCCCCTCCCCTCTCACCATGTATATTGTGCCTCATTTCTTTTTGAAACATCCAGTTAACACACCCTGCATTGTTTTTGAATATTTTTTTCCCCTTGACATCCTCAGTGGACTTGAATTAAGGGGGTTTTAGAGTCGAAGTCTCCCCTTCCTTCCCCTCCCCTACCCCAAGAGAAAAACAGCCGATTTGTGTTCTGGGGCTGTTCTTAGTGGGTTTTAGTTTGGTTTTTTGTTGTTGTTGTTGTTGTTTTTGTTTTCCCCTAGCATTTAGTTGGGAAATGGCCACCTCCTAGTGTTCCCCTGCAAAGCACGTGAGGAGGCCCAGCAGGTCCTGCTGGGTAAGACTTCTGAAGTCCCTGAAAGATTGGGCTCCCACTGCTTACCCCCGTATGTTAGTAAACTCTGAAATTACGTAAAAACTAGACTTGTATGCCAGAGACTGCATGACATTCTAGAGTATAAAGAAATGTGTGTGGTCCCTGGCAGCAGAAAAAGCACCCTAAAGACACAGTTCAGAGACTCCAAGAGAGAGAATGTAGGCCAGGGAGCGTGCTGACTGCAGATCCCTGGCCCTTCATTAAGCTGAGTGAGCGCCTCTCCATTCTGTTGGAGTGAGCTCCTCAGTGAGCCCAGGCCAGCAATGAAGGGCCAGCGTGTCGGCATCCTGGAAGGCCTGGTGAAGAGACAGTGCAGGGACTGCCAGATGAAACTGAACAAGGCCCAGCACCCCATTCCCGTTTTTATTAGAGCCTGGATCTCCCTGATCTGGAGCAGCCCCTGGCTGCGGTGACCAGACCTGTCCCAGCTGTGCTCAGCACTGACACTCTTGGGACCTGAGGAGATGACGTTGGGTTTTGAGGTTGAAAGAGGCTGTTTAGTAGGCCAAAGGGACAGCAGGGCAGCTTATCCTTCTGCTGGAGGGGTAGGTAAGATCCCCACTGTGTGGGTGTTTCTTGACCACCGTTTATCACTGAGTTGGGGTCCCTTCTCTGTGATCACAATGTGCTTTTGTCCTCAGAATAGCCATGTTGGCAGCAGAGTGGAGGCTGCTCTCACATAGTGGGACCAGTTCTTCACATGAGTGACAGCCCAGGAAAATATGGGGTATCTGTGTACACACAACAGGAGTCTTCTAGCCATTACAATATATTGTTTTCCCCTAATTTAGCAGGATCCTAGCTTAGGATGCTGTTTGCTGCCTTGAACATGTGCAGCATCTCTGTGCCCATGGGACACAGTGAACCCTGCTGCTCTGAAGGCTCTTACACCCACTGGAGCACCTCCTTTGGCCAGTTTCCTCTGGCTGGTGGCTGTTCCTTTCTTAGCAGAGCAGTGTTCCTCCACATTTGAGGATTTGAGCAGAGCTCTGAGTTGCAGTTTGTTTAGGAACAGATGAGAACAGGGAGCAAATGGCTTAGCCTGTGGAGAGCTTTTTTAATGGACTCTTGTCTTGTACCAGACCTTGAATTTCCACACATTTTGTACCTTCTTCCCACCATGATAACCTGGCTTTATCACAGAATTAAATTATATCTATTTTTTAAAACGTGTTTTTTTAAAATTGATTTTGTCGGGGCTGGGAAGGTAGCTTGGCGGTAGAGTGCTTGCCTCACATGCATGAGGCCCTGGGTTCAATTCCTCAGCATCACATAAACAGAAAAAAAGCTCAGAAGTGTGGCTCAAGTGGTAGAGTGCTAGCTTTGAGCTGAAGAGCTGAGGGACAGTGCCCAGACCTAAAGTTCAAGCTCCAGGACAAAAAAAAAAATGTTGTCTTTTGCTCTAAATTTTCGGTATGTTGACAATTGATGTTTTCCTAGGGAAAGAAAATGTTGCTTTTTATTTATAGTCATGTTGGTAGGTGTGCCAGGTCCTGGATTGGTGCTAGCCTGAGGCTGTTGTCAGAGGTGGTTCAGACTTTTAACAGAACTGGACCAGCACCACCTTTGCACCTCTGCGGTTCTACTGAATAGGAAACTTCAGTTTTTATCTCTGCTCTCTCTTGGTAAGCAGTTTGTACTGGGTCTCTCTCTAGCCATACCCATTCTGCCCCTCATATTTTACCCCACTGCTTGCTCCTCTCCTCCACACTGCCTCTAGCTGTCAGCTTTTTTACCCATCCACTCTGCCTTTTGCCCTGAGTCTCCTTCATTGGCCTACCATGGACCTGACCTACCCCTACACCCATGCCTGATGCCTTTCTCCAAAACCTTGTCTCTATCTGAGGCTGGAAGGACGGTCAGTTGGGGTACACATGAGGCAACCTGGTCATAGGAGCAAGTGTGATCATGGAGTGAACTCCAGAGGGAGGCAGCCTGCTATGATGACCATGCTAACAGTGGCCAAGGGCCCTTACTGAGTTATAAAACACTTTTTGTCTATTAGGCATCCTGGCATGATAACCCTGGGAGAGGGAAGAGCAAGTATAATGAAATCCATTTTTCAGAGTAATATCAAAAGTCAGAGGTGAATTGCTTTTTTTCCACATCTTCAAGGAAAAGTGTTACAGGTCAGACCCCAAACTTCAATCATCTGTCCCTGAAGCCAGAGCTCTTTCCACCCCAGGTCTTTGCCCCATGCCAGTGAACTGCAGATTGAAGAGTGAAGTGAGGAGCAGAGGCCTTTATTAAGGTCTGACAGATGGGGTGGAGGTGGAATCCCAGGCCTGTGTGGGCCTGGACAAGGCAGGGGGGAGGCAAAGGATCCTTGGAGCAGAACCCCATGCCCTCTGCCTCCACCAAACACCCCACCTGCTCCTGCCTCTGGGAGCACAGAGCACCAAGAAAGGACAGCCTGGCCTTTTGGGGCCATAGCTTGGGATGGAGTGCAGAGTCCACACTTGGGTCCCCCACAGTAGAACAACTGGGGAGCTTAGGGAACCTCTGGGCCCTGACAGGTTGAAGTTGGGACACTTCTTCTCTATCCCCGGAACAGAACAAAGGCTTGTTATCTGTGTTGGGAGAAGGGGAGCAGGGCTTAAACATCTGAGGATTTAGGCAGAGTCTGAACTGACCTGGGGCAGAGGTGAAACATCAGGGGGAACTTCTGAGACCTTGCCTCTGGACTTGGCCTTTCTCCACTTGTCCTTCCCTAAAGACTCAGGCGAGCAGCCCAGAGTCTGGGGCAAAGGTGACTGATGGGACATTGGGGGACCTTCCCCATTGACATCTGTGGGTTTCAGATTGAGGGTTTCCCCAACATCAAATTCATCAATACAGGGCATCTTCTACCTGTGGCAAGGAGGATGTCACTGGGGGCTAGTAAGAATAGCCACCCTTGGGGCCGAAGGGCTGGGCAGAGCCAGCCAGCTCTGGGAGGTAGGCAGGGCTCTCGTCCAAGTGGGATAAAGGGACTGTGTCCTCCTCACTGACTGGCCGGTCAAACTCAGCCTTCAGGGCTGGACGCTGATTATCCGGGAAGGCCAGAGAAAACAAGGCCTCAGGCTCACACACAAACTTGTACACATAACGCTCGCCGGCCACCTATGGAAAGAGAGGGGCTGGGTGAGCCATTATGACCTCTACCTCAGGACAGGACTAGAGAATGTAGCCTTTCTCTTGGTCTGTGTAGAAGGCTGGGCCACCTTTCCCTCCCAAACTAGTTCCCTTCTGAAACCAGTTCCTTCATGTCTCTCTGGTCCTTGTTCACTTCTGATTGCAATCTCTAGTTTCTTAGCACATTTTTTTTTTAAATATACTAGAGAATTTAGTCTTGTGCTTGCAAGACAGGTGCCCTAGCACTTGAGTCATGCCTCCGCTCCTTCATGCATTGGTTATTTTTCTCATGCCCAGAGAGGCCATTGTGTTTCTCCCGAAACTTAGATAACAAGTGTACCCTCCAGCGCCCAGCCATTGGTTGAGATGGAGTTCACAAACTTTATGCTCCAGCTGACCTCAAACCATGATCCTCAGTCTCAACCTCCCAAATAGCTAGGGGGATAAGCTTGTAATCCACAGCACCCAGCTTCATTAGCACATTTCTACCTGAGGGGAATCTTGGGGTTGCCCATCATGTCCTGTGCCCTCTAATTCATGTTCTGCTCCTACAAATTTGCTGAGAAATGCTCCATGTCCTTCCCTTACTCCCTCCCCACAGCCACTGCCACCTCTCCTTTGTCCTGTGCCGGCCCCCCTCCCCCCAGTCCTGACCTTCTGCATGATGCCTTTCTCATAATAGTATCGCAGAGAGCGACTCAGCTTGTCATAATTCATGGCTGGCCGGTTCTTCTGGATGCCCCAGAGCCTGGCAACCTGGGGACAAAAGAGACAAGTTTTAGGGTGGAGGACAGTGGGGGACAGGTCAGAAAGAACACTTGGAATTGTTGTCTCAAGGAGTTAAGCTAGCCCTGCAACTAGCCCAGCTGGCTCTCAGGATCTGGCTTGGCAAGAATTCAGGTTAAGCAGAGTAAGGACAATTGTAAAGGTACATGACACCCTCTCCAGGTTCCCAAGCTGTGGGCGAGTATGGACGGGGATGTCTGAGAGACCCACCTCCTCAGGCTCAATTAGTTTGAACTCCATCCCCCGGCCTGTCCAAGCTATGAAATGGGCATTTGTTGGGTCATCCAGCAGGGCCACCAGAAACTGCCACAGCTGCAAGGCACCCCGGCGCTGGTAGGGTGGCCCCTCTCGGAATGCTCCAACTCCTTCCTGCTTGATGTCTCCTAAGGACGTGAAATTCGGAGGCATAAGGTGTGTGACTTCTATTCTCTCAACCAACCTCTTCCCTTCTCCCAGGGGGCCTCCCCAAGGGGCTTCTTAGGGGCCCCTTTCTTGATCTCTTAAAGGAAAAGCAAGGCGATCGATCCTGTGGGGGCTGGAAGAGGGCAAGACCCTGACCCTCCCATGAAATCACTTTGCTGACCTTCAAATTTCTCTGGGACAACGCAGACATCATCTGGGAATGGTCGTAGAGGTTTCTCATAGCCATATCCTTGTGGAAGAAGTTAGGAGTTGTTCAGATCTTAGAGTTCCCCAGAATCTAAAGGGATTCCTGGCTAGGGAACTTTCCCCTTCCCCTAAGACTACTCTCCCTCCCCTAACTTGGAGGGTTTGGCAGGGAAAGTAAGGGGCTTTCTTACCCATGGCCCCATCACCTGGTGAGGGCCCGGAGAAACCCTCTGTATGGAGGTACATGGATGCACACCCAGGGACATCTGCAGGGGAAGAAGCTGGTGTTAATAGGTGGCTGAGGAGGAAGCCCTACACACATTCAAGGCATTCTTGCCAGCCTGCTTTCCGGTGACTGTCCTGCCCACCACCAAATCCCAGAGGAAGTTGGAGGGGGAGCCCCTCAGCTTGAGGGCTATGGCAGAGGGCATAGATGGCAGCAGCTGGGGCTGGGCAAGCTGTCCCACAAGGCCCAGGATTCCTGGGAACAGCTGTTTCCTGTGAGTTCAGGGGGAGGAAGGGGTGAGAGATGAACCTCCGGGGAAAGGGTTCAGTGTCCACGCCTAAGACTCCTTTGGAATGAGCACGCGTCCGGTCAGCAGGTCAGGTTCCCAGTCTGTGTGTGTGTGTGTGCGTGTGTGTATCAGAGAGAGACAGAGACAAAAAAATGCACCAGCCTGCCAGCCGCTCTGCATCTGTGAAGAAGCAGCGGGCATGAAGCCGTTTTCTGGGGTCTGATGGACATTTCATTCCACTCCACTCGACTCCATTCCATTTCATTCCATTCCATAGGACTCGACACTCCCTGCTCCACCTTTGGAAGCGCCACGAGTGCAACTTCCAACCCCTTTCCGCCCCACTCCACTCCCACCTATGAATGAGCTGCTGAAACCCGACACCTCCGGGGAAGGAGGTGGGACTTAGGATTCAATCATGCCTCCATTTTGTGAATGGAATTCCTGACTCCATTCAGGAGAGGGGGGGAGGGGCAGGAGTTCAAGGGCATGTAACAAGATACCCTCCGGTTGGTCTACAGCCTTTGAAGGTCAGCAGCAAGAACTCCCTCCTCCTCCTCCCACCCAGCCATCACACTGCCAGGCCTGGCTCAGGCTTAAATTAAGGGTTTGAGGATGGGGAGCACCCCATCTGGTTCTAACTCCAGCAGCTTCGTGGTCTGTGCGTCATCTCCCTGCCCCTGGTTCTGTGGGCACCAGGAAACGAAAAACTGTAAAGCTCTAGCCAGCTCTGAGCCTACTCTAATCTCAGGCTTTATTTTTCCCATGCAAAATAGCAGATTTGGGGCTAATAACAATGTAACCAGCCAGGAGGAAAGTAGAGTAGGCAGAGTTTTCCTGGATCTTCTGGAGATTGGCTTTGCCTCCTGCTTGAGGCTTTAAACTAGAGCTACTTAGGAACTTGTAGCTGAGTATCTATATCTCACTTCTGTCAGTAGCCAGGTGGAACTAGAATGTAACACTGTCCCTACTTCCAGTATCCAGCTTTGGGGTGAGAAGCAGAGTGGAGATGAGGAAATCACATATTAATTCTGTGTTCCTACTGGGAACTTTGATCCCTGCTAGCTCTAAGTTGATAGTTCTCTTCATTTAAGTTGATTCATATTTTTAAACTTCTTGGAGACAGAGACCAATGATAGATTCCAGTCATCTCTGTATCTTCCAACTCCAAGTCTTAAAGACCCTGAATAATTGTTAAACAGACATAAATGCCTGGGGCTGGGAAGGTGGCTCAGTGGTAGAGTGCTTGCCTTGTGTGTGCATGAGGCACTGGGTTCCATTCCTCAGCCCCATATAAGCAGAAAAGGCCGGAAGTAGTGCTGTGGCTCAAGTGGTAGGGAGCTAGCCTTGAGCTGAAGAGCTGAGGGACAGTGCCCAGGCCCAGAGTTCAGGCCCCAGGACCAACAAAAAAAGAAAAAAAGAAATAAATGCCTTAACTTTCTTACTGTCACAAGCTACCAAAAGGCAAAAATCTATGTCCCCTTATCTTTTTATCTGAAAGTTTCCTAACTAGAAAATGACAACCTTAGCAGGGCGCTGGTGGCTCACGCCTGTAATCCTAGCTACTCAGGAGGCTGAGATCTGAGGATCTCTGTCCAAAGCCAGCCCGGGCAGGAGAGACTGTGAGACTCCTATCTCCAATAAACCACCAGAAAACCGGAAGTGGCGCTGTAGCTCAAGTGGTAGAGCGCTCGTCTTGAGCTGAAGAGCTGAGGGA